ATGTCCTTAATCAACCTAACGTAGGCAACATGTACACCTCTAGCCTCCAAACATCTCCACAAAGCCTCCCTCGGAACTTTATCGTATGCTAATGGACTTCGGAGATAATAATTATGTTCAACAAATAGTTTTGAATTCTAATAGAAAAAGCTTTACGTGCAATATAGGGGAAAAGAAGTTTTGTAATTCTGAGATTTTCTCGGTGTCCTTTCCACTAGAAAATGTAGCTGGATAAGGAAACTCATTAATCAGTGGCCGAGCTTTTGGAATTGGTTGTGACTTTGTAAATGGATTTATTCTGCCAAACTAGTGAAATACGCATTACTGGAAGATTTTGATTTATCCATCCATCCGCTCCCCCCAAAGGGTAAAAAGGCCAGTGAGGATACATGATTCTAAGCTTTTTATTCAAGTGCAAAGGGTGATATCCCTTTTAACCTTTTATTCTAAGCTCGTGAGTGTAAGCTATATTTGCTTACTACTTCAAATTTACAGTCTTCATCATCATTAGACTGATTAGACTTCTAGTTAAGCTAGCTATAAATTAATCTGCTTCTTGAGGTCAAGTGTTAACTCCAATGGGCTAGCAAAACGACTTGTGGACTGTTCTGATATTGAGCAATGGTTATTTAAAAAGTGCAGTCGAGATTGCTCCTTTATCAGTGCATTCACTGTATGTCCATTAATTTACTGCAGGAAGGTCTCACTTACAGAATGGGATATGTATTTTGGAACTGGAATTATGTTTTATGGGGTTGGGTCTGGTGAGATCAAAACCTTGATGACCAATCCGTTTAGCATTCTATTTCCCCTGTATTGCGTGGGTTAATACGAGTAGATTAACCCTTTCAAAGTTTCATCTCTTCTATCTCTTTTCTCTTTCCTTGTTTTCTTTTATTTTCTTTCTTTTCCTTGTTCCATTGTTATGAATGCATTGGTCCTAATTATAGTTTAGACTAAAGGCTGACTTTCCTTCAGAAATCAATCAGTATCTACCTTTTAAGGAATTCATTGATTCATTATTTTTGCACCTGATGGAGGATATTACCCTCTTGATCATTCAGTATTCTTCTCTTGCCTGTCTTTGTTTGTATTGGTAAAATTTTGTCAGCCTTATACTGAAAATTGACATTGGAACTCCTTGGGCCATTTCTCATGGAACAAGTTCAGTTGAGATATTCTTTACTCTGGAAATCCTCTTGGCCTTTCATTTTGGTTCAGCCTGTCCACAATTTTCTTCTTTCTTTTGCAAATGCTTCCGGCTTCTGTGGTTCCATCAGAGTTGCAGTGCCAGCTTATCTTCCTAGATATATAAGATGCCGAGGACAAGGGCCAGTGCTGCAGCTATTAAATCTGAACCTGAGAAGCCTATTGAGACTGAAGAGCAGGTTGACTTTGAAGGGGATAATGAAGAAGATGAAGAGATTGAGTATGAAGAAGTAGAAGAAGAGGTGGAAATGGAAGAGGTGGAAGAAGAAGAAGGGGTAGAAGAGGAGGAGGAGGAGGAGGAGGAGGAGGAAAATGAAAGTGATGGAGCTGGGGAAGCAAAGGGTTCGAAGGATGTAAAGATGAAAGTTGATACAAATGCTGAGGAGGATGTGGAGGAAAAGCATGCTAAGCTCCTTGCACTTCCTCCTCACGGTTCAGAAGTGTACATAGGTGGCATTACTCAAGATGTGTCTGAGGCAGATGTGAGGGATTTTTGTGAGACAATTGGGGAAGTTACAGAGGTAAATTCTTTTCCTGTTCATTAACTGTTCTTTATTGGTATCACATAATTTTACTAGGATAACATGAGTGAAAATGTCAGGTAAGAATAATGAAAGGGAAGGACTCAACTCAGAACAAGGGATATGCGTTTGTTACCTATAGAAACAAGGAATTGGCATCCAAGGCTATTAAGGAGCTCAACAACACTGAGCTGAAGGTACGCAAAATGCTATTCTCCTTAACTGGTTCTGTACTCTTTCTTTGTCTCATCTTGCCTAGTTTATCAGTCACTTATTAAACAGTTTACAGCCTTGATGTACATTTCCATAAGCGTGAATGGAAATTTATCTATTTGCTGGACTCTTTGGTTTCTCTAATAGCTGTTCCTGTATCAGGGAAAAAGGGTAAAATGTTCTCCAGCTCAAGCTAAACATCGGTTGTTCATTGGTAATGTTCCTAGAAACTGGGGGGAGGAAGATATGAGGACAGCTGTGACGAACGTGGGGCCTGGGGTTATTACTATTGAGTTGGTGAAGGTAAGGTCTCTTTTTTTTGTGACATATGCTTATAGTTATTCCGTTTCTCAACCTTTTGCTACAGTATCTTTGTCATTGGTTATACATTTGCAGCTCCATCGTTGTTACTCTTCCACATAAATCCTGTTATTCATGCAAAGAAGATTAAGTTTGTCCCCGAATATATATGCAAGAAAAAACCATTTTTTGTTGCTTTAATTTTTTTTCCTAATTCCTATGATACAGGATCCTCAGAACTCTGGTAGAAATCGTGGATTCGCTTTTATAGAATATTACAATAATGCATGTGCAGAGTATTCAAGACAAAAGATGTCAAATTCTGACTTTAAGCTTGATGATAATGCACCAACTGTCAGCTGGGCAGATCCCAAAAATGCTGAAACTGCTGCTTCTGCACAGGTTCTACTTTTAGAACTCGTGCATATTTTATCTTTCCTTTCCATGCAGACTAATGTGCTTGGGGGGTGGGGGGGGGTGATTTTCTTAGATACTTGCACAGTTGGTGATTCCTATTCAGCATAACTCTGTGCT